CCAATTCACCGGCAATCCTCGATTATTCATCGACCAACTACACTCGATTGCACATAATACTTTAAATAGAGGCTGAATAAACGATAAATGCTCAGAACATGTCGGACTGAATTGAACATAAATTGATTGTGATCATACTCACCTAACCGGCCCTAAGGCACGACGTTCTTCTGAAAAATCCGACAATTATCCGAACACTTAGCTCTGAATTAACCTAATTAACAAGTCTATGAACTGAAAAGGAGTTTACCTTCTTAAACGCTCGACGGGATCGGAAATCAATGGGTACTTAAAGCCTTGCGTTCGCCGTGCGGTATCCTCTCGTCTTTGCCGTGCGATTGTGATCGGATAAAAGGGAAATTTGCTGAGGTTTACTTGAATATAAGCTGCTGAACAAAGGCACTAACTTATGCTGGAAGGAGTGTTCGGTTTCTAAGGGAAAATGGCAAAATTTTTCCCAAGAAAAGTGCTTATATAAGGTCTCGGCATGAGGGGTGATGACGTTGCTTGAGCGTGGCCCTCTTGGGCATCTCACACTTGTTCAATTCCTAATCAAGCTATGGATGACTAAGCATCCCCTAAGCTTGACATTTGCTTAATTACTAATTGTTAAAAAAAAACTTTCCTTAACCACAAGGAAGCTCACGGCCATGTACTAGATGTTTGGAAAATTATACCCTAATCTCACGGCTATTTCTATAAAATTAGGGCTTATATGTGATTAATCTCAATTAATCACTCATTTGATGTTTAATTGTTAAATTAAACATAATACTTAATTACCAAAATTATTTCGGACGTAAACGGTACGCCGAAAATAGATTTCGGTAATTCCGACTGAACTTAATTAATTCCGAAAATAATAAACAATAACGTTACTATATCGGAATTAAACATAATTTATACTGATAATATCTCGGGATATTACACCCATTGTCCACGAGCACAGTCACCCGCTGATCCTTCACCCACGCCGGCAAACGCATCGTCCTTGGCCCCTTGGTGCCTGCTATGGCGTGTACAGAGATCTCGGCCTCATCATCGAGCACTTCGACCTCCACCTCTCGTTCTTCCTCGATCACCGGCTCCTCGTCATCCGAGTCCACAAACTCGATCAAGTAATTCTGCTTGCACCGATGTCCCGGCGTGTACTTTTCCTCGCACCGGACACACAACCCTTTCTCTCGTCTCCGTGCCATCTCGTCCTCCGTCAACCTCTTCACCTCAGTTGCCGGTGGCCTATAAGTGCCCGGCGGCCTCGCGTTCGCACTAGGTGCGCCCACGGTCGCCGGCACACGTCGCGGCTCCAGGACTCGAAAGTCCGCCCGTCCCCTCCGAGTTGCGGCCAAGTGATCCTCCCGTCTCCTAGCAACTTCCATGGCCTTGTGCATGGTCTCCGGTCTCTCCAACTGCACTTCAGCCGCGAGATCAGACCTAAGCCCTCCAACGAACGCGCCAATGAGCGCGGTCTCTGGCCACCCGTGAACTCGGCACGCCAACCTCTCGAACTCCTTTTGGTAGTCACGTACACTCCCCGTCTGTCGGATCCGAGTCAGAGCCTCGTCGTGGTTATGATAATCCGAGTTCCCAAAACGCGTAAGGAGCTCGCGTTCAAAATCTTCCCAACGGATTGGTTGTTGCCGCCCGCGATACACGCGCGTGAGCCACTGCCACCACACGTTGGCCTCAACATCTAGATAGTACACGACGTATCGAACCCAGTCTCGTTGCGGCATCTTGTTTAGGTCGAAGAACTGTACCGCCCTGTTCAACCAAGCGTCCGGATTGGTTCCCGTGAACGTCGAGAGAACGAGCCTCGGCTTTTCGACGCGGGGTCGCTCTTGAGCGTTCGACGCCTGCGACCGCTGCTCGTACTCATCCTCCTCGTCGGGGTGGTGCTCGGCCCGCTGCTGCTCCTGTTGCCTTAGACGCTCGCGTGCGTTCATCTGTGGTGGCTCCTGCTGCTGCTGTCGCTGAAACCCGCGCAACACCTCCTCCAGGCGCTGCTCGAGACGAGCCACGGTAGCATTGGTGGTGGTCTGTCGTTCATCGAGCGAACCAAATCGACCCTCCATGCTTTCGCTTATGGCCCTGAA